ATACATTTAAGAAGTTTTTATATATAATCTATGGTTTGGAGATAAGCGGAATCGAACCGCTACCTTTTTCTTTGCAAAAGAACTATTCTACCATTGTCATTATATCCCCCTATAATATATATTATATATTCCTCAGTAGCTCAGTGGTTAGAGCTTTCGGCTGTTAACCGAAAAGTCGCTGGTTCGATCCCAGCCTGTGGAGTTATTTATTATTTATATATTAAAAAATACGGAAGGAGAGATTTGAACTCTCATAGAAAAATTCTATTAGAACCTAAATCTAACGCGTATACCTTATTTCGCCACTTCCGTCTTTAAATTATAAACCTAGTAGGATTTGAACCTACATTAAAAACTTAGAAGGTTTTTATCTTTTCCAATTTAAATGATAGGTTTTTTTAAAGATGGGTAGTGTTAGAATCGAACCAACAACTTTATACTTGTAAAGTATATACTCTACCATTGAGTTAACCACCCTCCTCATATAATAATATATTTATATAAAGCCAATAGCTTAAGTTGGAAGAGCATGTGGCTACGGACCACAATAGTGTGGGTTCAATTCCCTCTTGGCTTTATTAATTTTATATATTTTTAATATAAACGGAGTAGAGCAGTCTGGTTAGCTCATCGGGCTCATGATCCGAAGGTCAACGGTTCAATTCCGTTCTCCGTTTTTTATTTCTTAAGTTATTATTTATTATAATAAATATAATATTAAATATTTATAAGATAAAAAAGAATACCTTGATACTTAAAGACGAAGAAAGACGTTTTAAATTACGAAATACTTTAATTAGCTATATGCAATAAATTAAAGATCTCTGAATAGGAGGAATATACCTTATAATTTAATAAAAAAAGAAAACTTAGAGAACTGAACCATCTTAGTATCTAAAGGAAAAAAAATAACAAAAATTCCCTAAGTAGTGGCGAGCGAAATGGGATAAATATATTTATTTAATATATTTATTTTTAAATAAGTAAATTAGAAAATAATTCTGATTGAAGAAGCAAGAACCTCCTTGCAAATAAAATACTTTAAAGTGATCGATAGTGGACTAGTACCGTAAGGGAAAGGTGAAAAGATCCCCGGAAGGGAAGTGAAAAGAACATGAAATTTTTTATCTTACAATCTATAGAAGGGATTAAAGAATCTAACTATATGCCTGTTGAAGAAGGAGCTGACGAGTCTTAATTATTTTAAGCATTTGGTTAATTTTATTTAATTGAAGCCAGAGTTAACGCGAGTTATTATAATATAATAACAATTGCTTATAATTAAGAACCCGAACCCGGATGAATTAATCTTGTCCAGAATGAAATATAGATAAGTCTATATAGAGGTTCGAACTGGTTGATATTGCAAAATCATCAGAAGAGATGAGATTAGCGGTGAAATGCTTATCGAATTCGGAGCTAGCTGGTTCTCCTCGAAATGCGTTGAGGCGCAGCTGTTACTTAATATATAATTAAGGTGGTAAAGCACTATATTTAATATTTATTATATTTATATTATAAAAATTATATATAAACTAATAATACCTATTATATTAAAAAGTAATAAGTGAGACTATTGGGGAAAATCTCAATTGTCTAAAAGGAAACAACCCTACATCATAAGTTAAGGTTTTAAAAAGTATTAAAAATAAAAAGAAATTTAATTTCATTTATATTTAGGAGGTTAGCTTAGAAGCAGCTATCCTTTAAAGAGTGCGTAATAGCTCGCTAAATTAGAAATTATGTACTGAAAATGGTAAAAAAAATACTTTACCGAAACTATGAGATTTATATTTAAATCGATAGAGGAGCGTTCTATATTTAAGAAGTAAAAATGTAAATTTTTATGGAAAAAATAGAAGTGAAAATGTCAGCTTAAGTAGCATAAATATTAGTAAAATCTAATACTCCGAAAGCTTAAAAGTTTTCTACGAAAGGATATACCACGTAGATAAAGTCGGGGCCTAAAATTAGATTAAATATGTAATTGATGGGTAATAAGGTTAAACTTCCCTTTACTGTAAATATATATAACAAATAGTGACCTATAATTTTTATTATATTTTTATAATATAGTTTTTAATATATAAATAAAAATATATAGCTGGAAAAATGTATATGTTAAAATATATTATCACCCGTACTAAAACTGACACAAGTAAGCAAGTATAAATATACTAAGGAGTACGAAATAACTTTTTCTAAGGAACTCGGCAAAATAATCCTGTAACTTCGGGAAAAAGGATGTCCAAAGGACTGCAATAAAGAGATCCAAGCGACTGTTTATCAAAAACACAAGTCTCCGCTAAGTGTAATTACAATGTAAGGGGGCTGACACCTGCCCAGTGCTGGTAAGTTAAAAAAAATATTGATAATTATAATATTTTTATAAGCTCCAGTAAACGGCGGGCTGTAACTATAACGGTCCAAAGGTAGCGAAATTCCTTGTCGGGTAAGTTCCGACCTGCACGAAAGGTGTAACGACTTGGATGCTGTCTTGGAAAAAGATTCGGCGAAATAGAAATGTCTGTGAAGATACGGACTATTTACACCTGGACAGAAAGACCCTATGAAGCTTTACTATATTTTGAAATTAAAAATAAAATATATTTGTGTAGAATAAGTGGGAAATAATTATTTTATTTATCTTGAAATACCACTCTTATTTATTTTATTTTTTTATTATAATATTGTTAACCAATTATAAAAAAATTTTAAAAAGGTAGTTTGACTGGGGCGGTAGCCTCCTAAAAGGCAACGGAGGTGTACAAAGGTCTTTTTTTAATTTAAATATTTACTTTAAAATTAAATCTATAAAGGGATAAAAAGGCTTGATTGTAAGAGTTACTACTCGAGCAAGGACGAAAGTCGGTCTTAATGATCCGATAGTTCTTTGTGGAAAGGCTGTCGCTTAACGAATAAAAGTTACTCTAGGGATAACAGGCTGATCTCCCCCGAAAGTTCCTATTGACGGGGAGGGTTGGCACCTCGATGTCGGCTCGTCGCATCCTGAGGCTGAAGTAGGTCTCAAGGGTTGGTCTGTTCGCCCATTAAAGCGGCACGTGAGCTGGGTTCAGAACGTCGTGAGACAGTTCGGTCCATATCCGGTGTATACATAAGAACATTGAAGAGTTTTTCTTTTAGTACGAGAGGACCAAAGAGATTAAACCTATGGTGTATTAGTTATTTTACTAAAAATAATCGCTAAGTAGCCAAGTTTAAATAAATATTAATCACTGACAACATATAAGTGAGAAAAATACTTTAAGATAAATGTTCTTATCTAACTAAATAAATGGAATAAGAAAACAAAAAGATAATTTGATAAAAAGAAAAAGTGTATACAATTAGTAATAATTTTAGCATTTTTTGACTAAAAGTTCGAAAAAAATATATTTTGCTGGTATAGCTCAAAGGTAGAGCCGCTGATTTGTAATCAGAAGGTTGGGGGTTCAATTCCCTTTATCAGTTTTATAATTAAAATATAAAAATAATAAATATTATATAAAAAATTTTAAAATGTTACGTTATTTAGGGCCTAAATTAAAAAAATTAAAACGATTAAATATACATATGCAACCTGAAAATACTATAATAGATACTTATCGTTTAATAGGTGGATTAAATTTAAATACTTTAAATAAATTAAATTTAAAATTTAAAGATTTTTTATCATTATATATATTTAGATATAAAGCTTATTTACTTTTAAAAAAATTTAAACAGCCAGATTGGTGTTTTTTTGAAATACCGGATATATTTTATGATGATATATCTTATTATTCAATTCCTTCTAAATTTAATTCTAAAAAATCAATTAATAATATGTTTAATTCAATTTTAGATAAAATAGGATTAAATTCTCAAGAAAATAAATTAATTTCAACATTAGCTATAGATATTGTATTAGATAGTGTTTCAATAGTAGATACTATTACTAATTTTTTAATAAAAACTGGAATAATTTTTATACCATTTTTTGAGGCAATTAATTATTTTTCTTATTTAGTATTTTCATATATAGGTACAATAGTACCATTAGAAGATAATTTCTTTTCTACTTTAAATTCTACAATTTTTAGTGGTGGTTCTTTTTGTTTTATAGCAAAAAATATCAAATGTAATATTAATTTATCTACTTATTTTAGAACCCAATCAGAAGATTTTGCTCAATTTGAAAGAACATTATTAATAGTAGATAATTCTTCATATATTATATATACAGAAGGATGTTCTGCTCCTATTTTTTTAGAATCTCAATTACATGTTGCTTTAGTTGAAATTTTAGTAAAAGAAAAAGGAATACTTAATTATTCTACGATACAAAATTGGTATCGTGGTGATCAATCTGGGGAAGGTGGATTATATAATTTTACAACTAAACGTGGTTGGTGTTTAAAAAAAGCTTTATTAGATTGGGTTCAAATTGAAATGGGATCTGCAATTACTTGAAAATATCCTTCTACGTATTTAATAGGAAATTATTCTTCAAGTAATTTCTTTTCACTTTCTTTAATTTCTGATATGCAAATATCAGATACAGGAAATAAAATGTTACATATTGGATCTTATACTAAAAGTCATGTATATTCAAAAAGTATATCTTTAAATAAATCTATATATGCATATAGAGGGTTAGTAAAAATTTTTAAAAATGCTAAATATACTTATAATTATACTGAATGTAATTCATTATTATTAGGAAATAATACATTTACAATAACTATCCCTTATACAATTGTAAATAATTTTTCTACTTTTATAAATCAAGAAGCTAGTATATCTAAATTAGAATCAGATTTTATTTTCTTTTTATTACAAAGAGGAATTAATCTTAAAACAGCTATTAGTTTATTAATTATTGGATTTTGTCAAAATATTTGTTCTAAATTACCTTTAGAATTAGAATTAGAAGTACCTTTATTAATTTTAATGCGTACTCAATCTAATTTTTAATAATTAAATTATTTAAAATAATTAATATTAATTAATTTTATATAATGAATTTTCAATTAAAAAATTTTTTAATATTAAAAACATTAAAAACTTTTTATATAGAGTATTATAAAGTTTTAATATATTATTTAATTAATTCTATAAAAAATTATTTAGGAGATAAATTATATTTATATTATAAAAAAAATAAATATACTATTTATATATTAAGTGATTTTTTATTTTTTAAGACAACTAATTTAACTAGTAATATTACAGATACTGTTCAAGAATTTAATTCTAAAATTTTAATTTTCCTACCTTTAAAAATTAAAAATTTAAAAAATAATAAATATAAAATTATTTATTATCTATTAGGAGAAATTCCAAAATATACTATTGAAAAAAATTTAATTATAAATGGATTAAAAAAAACATTTATATCTAAATTAATGTTTAATTATATTGGAATATTTTTTAATAAATTTATTAAAAATAATAATAATATTTTATATGCTAAAATTATATTTAATGATAAATTTATTATAAATATAGTTTTAGAAGAAAATAAATGTTATTGTATTTTTAATAATTATAAATATGATTTAATTTGTTTTTTATATTTATTAGGAATATCTATGCAAGATATTTTTATTTTTTCACGTTATAATAAATCATTTTATTTAAAAAAATTATTATTAACTCTCCCTAGTTTAAATATTAACAATATAATTAATTATAATATTTTTAAATATTTATCATTTTTTTTTAATTTATCTTTTAAATTAAATACATATTATATTTTTAATAAAGTTTTAAATAAAAATAATTCATTATATTCATATATTAAAAATTTCTCTAATAGTAATAATTTAATAGCATTAGATTTTATTAATATACTAGATATATTATTAGATATTAAATATAATAAAAAAAATATAACAGATTTAGATTTATTAGAGTATCGTTCTATATTTACTTTAGGAAATTATTTTACAAATCAATATTCTTTTTATTTAAAAAAATTTTCAAATATATTACATAATGATATTTTTAAATGTATTAAAAATTTAGAAAAATATAAATTAAATACTAATTCTTTTAAATCTAAATTATATTTTAATTTAAAAGAATATTTAACAGTAAATCCATTGGTACAATATTTAGAACAAATAAATAGTTTTTCCGAAATAATACATAAAAATAGAGTTACTAATTATAATTCTAAATTAAAACAAAATTTACAAATAAGAAATATTAATTTAAATCAATTAGGTTCTTTATGTTTAATAGATACTACAGAAGGAATTAATTGTGGTTTAGTAATAAGTTTTACTAAAAATATTAAAATTGAAAAAAGAAATAATTTTCAATTTCCTTATTTACCTGTTTTAAATATAAAAACAAAAAATTTTATTACTTTTATAAATTCTTTTTTACAACAAACTTATATAGTGCTTTTTAATAATTATTATTTAAGAAAAAATAAATTATTTAATTTTTTTAATTTAAGCCTTAATAAAAATTCATTTAAACTTAAAAATATATCAATACAAAATATGATATATATAAAACCTATGGATATGTTTTCATTTGCTGAAAATTTAATTCCTTTTATATTTTATAATGACCCAGCAAGAGTATTAATGGGCGCTAAAATGCAATCACAAATTGTTCCTATTTTAAAAAATAAAAGATCAATTATAATAACTGGATATGAAAAAAATCTTTTAAATTCTACTAATTTAATTTTAAAAGCTTATCAAGAAGGTATTGTTGTATATGTCTCATCTTATAAAATAATTATAAGAGATTTATATAATAGAAAAATTACATATTTTTTAGATAAATATAAACGTAGTAATCATTTTACTATTTTACATTCTAAGCCAAATGTATGGCAAGGTGAAAGAATTTTTTGTGGTCAAATTCTTACATCTACTCAAGATATATTATTTTCTGAATATATAGGAGGAAATAATTTATTAGTATCTTATGGAAATTTTTTTGGTTATAATTTTGAAGATGCTATAGTTTTAAATAAAAAAATTATATATTCACAATTATTTACCTCACTTCATTTTAAAGTGTATGAAATTATATTTAATTCTTTAAATAAATTTTCATTTGAAATATCTACTATTAACTTACCTAAAAAAAGTTTTTATTCTAAAAGAAATTTAGATTTTTTTGGTATTATAAAAGAAGGTTCTAAAGTATTAAATAATGATATTTTAGTATCTAAAATATTTATAACTAATATAAATATATCTTTACTACCTTTATATAATTTAATATACATTTTATTTGGAAAAGAAATAAAAAATATAAAAGATAAATCAATATTAGTTTCATTTGGAAATTCAGGTAGAATAGTTAAAACAGAATTATTTTCATATTCATCAAAAATCAAATCATATTTAGGATATTATTTAAAATGTAGGGTGTATATATGTAAACAACGTTTACTGTCTGTAGGAGATAAATTATGTGGTCGTTATGGAAATAAAGGAATTATAGCATATATTTTACCATCTAATGATTTACCATATACTAATACTGGAATAATTCCAGATATTATATCTGATTCTTTAGGTATTCCTTCAAGAATGAATATAGGTCAATTATTTGAAAATTTATTCGGATTAAGTTGTTATTTTTTAAATAAAAGATTATGTATAAGTAATACATTTAATTTACCTAAAGTTTATATTAAAACAATATTATATAATTATATTAATAATATTAAAGAAAAATCAGGAAATTTATGGATATATAATTCATATAGTCCTGGAAAAATTTTATTAAGAGACGGTAGACAAGGATATAAATTATCAGAACCTTCTTTTTTAGGTATTTCTAAATATTCTAAATTAATACATATGATAAAAGATAAGATACATTATAGAACTATAGGTCCTTATACTGAATTAATGCAACAACCTGTAAAAGGTAGAAATAAAAAAGGAGGTCAAAGATTTGGAGAAATGGAAATATGGGCAATAGAAGCTTATGGAAGTTCGTATAATTTAAGAGAACTTTTAAATTATAAATCAGATGATATTATTGCTAGAACTTCATTATTATCTAATTTAGATAATAATATTATATTAGATAATATTACTACTACAGAATCTTTTCGTACATTAATTAGAGAAATACATAGTATGAATTTAAATATAGAAGCTTTTTCTAGTATAGATCAATTAGAAGGAAAAATATTACCTATAAATATTAATTTTTAAAATAATTTTTTATTATATTTTAGATAAAATAATTAATAAAAAATATGATTTATTATAATAATATATATAATTCTTTAAATTATTTAAATTCTAATATAGGATTTAAAATTTCTATAGCCTCACCATTAATTATTATTAGGTGAGCATGAAGAAAAATTAATAATATAATTATTACAGGTCAAATATCTGAACCTTATACTATTGATTTTAAAACAGGAAATCCTAAACTAAATGGATTATTTTGTGAAAGAATTTTTGGTCCTTTAATTTCTTGGCAATGTAAATGTGGTTTATTTAAAAATATAGATCCTATAAAATATACTTGTTTATGTCCTTTATGTGGTTCTGAAAATACTACTAATCAAGTAAGAAGATATAGAATAGGATATATATATTTATATTCTCCAATTGTACATATATGATATTTATATGAATTATTACCTTATATATTAAATATACCTATAAATATATTATTATTTTTAATATATTATAAATTTTTATTAGAGAATAATAAAAACATAAATAATTTAAAAAAAATAACTATAACTCAATTTATTTTTGCATCTAATTATATTCAATATTTATTACAAAGATTTAATATTTTAAATAAAATATTAAAAATAAAATCTTTATTATATACTAATACTAATATAAATTTAGAAAAAAAAAAAAATTTTTTAAAACCAATAAATTTATTAAATTTATGTATCTTAAATAATATCCAACCCCAATGAATAATGTTAGATATTTTACCTGTACTACCTTCAGGTTTAAGACCTTTAATACAATTAAATAATAATAATTTTGGATCTTCTTCTTTAAATGAATTATATAGAATCATAATTATTATAAATAATAAACTTAAACAGTGGCAACTTTTACGTCGTAAATTTCCAATATCTTTTGAAATTACAGCAAAACGTAATTTACAACAAGCAATAGATATTTTAATAGAAGATAATTATAAAAATAAAAAAAAAAATTTAATATCATTATCTTCACATTTACAAGGTAAATTTAATTATTTTAGACAATATATATTAGGTAAAAGAATAGATTTTTCTGGTAGATCAGTTATAGTTTCTGGTCCTGCATTAATTTTTAATAAAATAGGAATATCAACAAATTTAAGTATAGAACTTTTTAAACCTATAATATTAAATATTTTAAAAAAAAATAAATATATTAATACTTTATTACGAGCATCTTATTTTATTGAATATAGCCCTATAATTTTAAAAAGACTTTTAAAATTTATTTTTAATAAAGAAATTATTATGTTTAATAGAGCTCCTACATTACATAGAATGAATATTCAAACATTTAAGCCTCTTTTAACAGAAAATGAAATTATAAAATTATTTCCTTTAGCTTGTTCTGGGTTTAATGCAGATTTTGATGGAGATCAAATGGGTATTTTTTTAATTTTATCAAAAAGTGCTAAAAAAGAAGCAAAAAAAAATATAATTTTTGATAAAAATTTATTTTCTCCTTCTTCACAAAAAAATATATTTAAATATTCTCAAAATATTATTTTAGGGTTAAATACATTATTATCATTTAAGGGAAGTAATTATAAAAATTTAATTTTTAATAATATAGATGATATATTAAATGCTTATTCACATTCTTTATTAAAAATAAATACTATTTTTTTATTTAAAATAAATTTTTGTTTATACTCATATTCTACTTTTACTATATATAAAAAATATATATTAACTTCTTTAGGTAGACTTCTATTACAAAAATTAATATAATATAATTTAATTTTATTATAAAAAAAATAATGTTATCTATTACTTTTTTTTCTACAGGACCTAATTATTTTAATATAGAACAACGTTTATTACAAAAATTATTATATTTTAATATTGTTAAATATATTAAAGAACTTATGTTATTAGGATTTGAATATTCATTTTATTTTCCTTTAATTTTAACATTAGAAAGCACTAAAGGTTATTTTTTTACATCTCCATTATTACGATTTAATGAGCTTTTAAAATTAAATTTTAATATTAAAGAATTTAATATACTTTATTCTATACAAAAATATAATAATTCATATATACAATTTTTAAATTTATTTAATACATTTAATAAGATAAATACATTTTCAAATGCTTTACATATTATGGCAAATACAGGAGCTAAAGCAAATTGAAATCAAATTTGTCAATTGATTGGTGTACGAGGTTATTTAGCAAATGCTACAGGAGAATTTTTTAAAATACCGGTTTTAAGTAGTTTTAATAAAGGGTTAAATTTTTTCGAATATTTTATATCTTGTTACGGTGGAAGAAAAGGAATATTAGATACTGCTTTAAAAACTGCAGATGCAGGTTATTTAACTCGTAGATTAGTAGAATCTATTCAAGAATTAAATATTAAAGAATATAATTGTGGATCTAATAACTCATTTGAATATTTTCCACAAATTAATATAAAAGGTAATTTAATATTACCTTTTTTTTTATTACTTTATGGAAAAATATTACAAAAAAATTTAATAGATTTTAATACAAAAAAAATTATAGAATTTAAACATAATTATATTTCAAATAATTTAATAAATATTTTATATTATAATAAATTTAATTTTTTATTTAAAATTAATACTTTTTCTATAAAAACTTGTATTGCAGGAAGAACTATTTGTTCTATTTGTTTTGGAAGTACAACTTTTAAACATAATAATTTAGGTAAAAATGTAGGTATTTTATCTGGGCAGGTTATAGGAGAACCAGGAACTCAATTAACTTTAAGAACTTTTCATACAGGTGGAACTTTTACTTTAAATTTAAATAAAATTAAAAATAAAGATAATTTTATTTTTAATTATAAATATTTTTTTAATATAAATAAATATAAATTATGTGTTAAATACCATAAAATAAAAAGATTAAAAAATAATAATAAAATTTTATATTTTATTTATCTTAAAAATAATTATTTTATTTTTAAATCATTTTATATATTATTTATTTTAAAAAAATATAAATTTAATCAAATATTATCTATTAATAATAGATTAATATATTCTAAAAATAATATATATTTAAGTAATTTATTATTAATATATTTAAATATAAATAATATTTATCAACGTAAATCTTTAATAAATATTAATCATGAACAAAATTATACTGGAGAATTTTTATATAAAAATATATTACAATTAATTATAAAAAATAAATATTATAAATGAATAATTATAAATCTAAATACTACTATATTATTTAATAAATATTTTCCGATAAATTATAATATAATTAAAGAAAAAATTATTTTTATAAAATCAAAAAATCAAAGATATATTAAATTATATTTAATTAAAAATAAAAATTTTTTATACTCATATAGAAAATATATTAATAAATTATATCATTTAAAAAAAATATTTATTTTAAATATATTTTTTTCAATAAATTATTTATTATTAATTGAAAAATATTTAATATTAAAAAATACATATATATTAAATTATAATATTAAATATATATTTAATATATATAATACTATTAATTTAATAAAATGTAAAAAAAAAATTATAATTTAATTTAAAATGTTTTTAAAAGTATTTTATACTAAATTAAAAAAAAAAAATATTTTAAAAAAAAATAATATTATTTTTCCAATAAAATTACATATTAATAATAATATATATATATTTATTTATTTTAAATATTTTAAAATAAATAATATTACTTTATCTTTTAATAATTTAATTTATAAAGAATCTTATAGTATTTATAAAAAAAAAAATAAACTTTTTAATTTAATTAATAATTATATACCTAAATTATATTTAATCGATAATTTATTTTATAAAACAATTTTAATACAATATAATTTTATAGATATAAATTATTTATTTATAAAAAATATAATAATTCCTAAAAATATAGTATCGCAAATATTACACAGACAATTTATAAATAATAATTTTAATATATTATTATTAAATAATAATAAATATTTAATTAATAATTTTTTACATATATATTATATATATAAAAATTATATATATATAACAACATATTATACTTATTGAAAAAATTTATTTTCAAATAAATATATATTTAATTTTTTTAGAGGAATTATTTTAAATAAAAAAAAATATTATTCTAACAATTCTATTAAAGATATTACATCAGGATTAATTCTTATAGAAATTATTTTTGAAGCTAAAATATTACCTAATATATACTTTATACCTCAAAAATTAAATATTTTAACAAATATATTTTTATTATATGAAGAAAATACATTAAATTATTTATGAAATTATAGTTTATATACTTTTTCTTATAATAAAAAAAAATTATTATTTTTTACAGAAATAAATTCTTATTCAAATTATATTTATGAAAATAAAACATCTATATTAACACCTAATAATATTATTATTCCTGGTAATTATTCTATAAATATTTTATTATTAAAATTATTTTCACATAATTTAAATTTTTATATGCAAGATCAAGCTATTAAATTATCTCATATTTTTATATTTAATTTAATAGTAGAATCTTTATTAAAACAATATTTTAAAAATGGTATAAATATTCCTAGTATTCAATTTGAGTTAATAGCAAAAAAGATGACTTCTTTTGTTAAAATAAATTATAGTGGGGACAGTGCTTTATTAGAAAATGATATTTTTGATTTTAATAAATTAAAAATATTAAATTATATATTATATACTTTAGGGTATAAACAAATATTATATAGTCCTGTAGTATTAGGGATAACTAAAAGTGTTTTAGCTTGTTCTGGTTTTTTTGCCTCTATTAGTTTTCAAGAAATAATAAAATTTTTAAAGAAATTAAGTATAGAACATTCTATTGACTGGCTTAGTGATTTAAAATCTAATATTATTACAACAAATCTAATAAAAACTGGGTCTGGGTGGCATAGACATTTTATTAAAATATAAATAAAATAATTTATTAAAAATTTAATATTCTTAATGTTAAATATAAATATATTAGATTTAATAAAAAAAAAAATAATACCTATTAAATATATAATAAAACCAAAAAATTATTATCGTGATAATTTTTTATATAATAATTTTAATAAATATATAATTGAATTATTTAATTTATTAAATTCTTTAAGTATTATATATTTATATATATATAAATATAGTTCTTTAAAACAAAAAATATTATTATCTACAGATTATATTCAATATATATTTATATTAAAATTAATTACATCTTTAACTTCTAATTATTATATATATAGTGATATTTATTCTGGAATATTTTCAAATTGATTTTTTTTAAAAAAAAAATTAATTATATATAATTGGTTAAGGTATTTTTTTTTAACTAATTTAATTATTAAAAATAATTATAAAAATATATTTTACATATATTATACTTTATATCTTATATATCTTAAATTAAAATTAAAATATAATAATTTAAGAAATTTAAATACAATTCCTAATTTATTAATTTTTATTATTTTAGAAAAAAATAAATTTTTAAAAGAAATTTTAAAATTAAATAAAAATATAATTATTATTAGTAATAAAAATTTAAATAAAAATTTATTTAAAAATAATATTAAAATAATTACTGATACTAAAAATTTAAATATAGTATATATTATATTTAAAATAATAACTACATCTATATATCATGGTATATTATATAATTAAACAAATTATTAATAAATTTTAAATTAATTTATATATTTTTTTAATAACCAATTAAAATTAATATTATTATATTTTATATAATTTAAATTTTTTTTTTTAGTTATATAAGAAAATTTTAAAGCTTTTATAAATTGTTGTTTTTTATATTTTTTATTATTTTTTTTTGTAAATAATCATTTTTTATTAATATTAATCATTATTTTTAATAAATAAAATTTTATATTAATTATTTTATTTATATAATAAGGAGAAAATGGGATTTGAACCCACGAAATTTTAAATTTTTCTGATTTCAAGTCAGACGCATTAAACCACTCTGCCATTTCTCCTTTTAAAATAATAAATATAATATATTTTTAATAAATATTATTATTTATTAATAAATTTTTTAAATAATATAAAGATATTAAAGAAAATTTTTTTGATATATTTGAACCTAATTTAGAATAAAAAATTATTTTAGGATATAAAAATATATATATATTTATATTAGACATATAATTACCTAAATTTATTAAAAAATTAATTTTAGTTGTTTTTTTTAAATAAGATATTCTTAATGTATATATATATTTATATTTAAAATTTTTTTTATATTTTCTAATTAATTTTAATTTAATCATTATATAATATATTTATTATTAAGATAGAAATATATTTAATATTTTATTAAATTAAATTTAAGCAGATAGCGAGAATTGAACTCGTATTTTTAACTTGGAAGGCTATTGTTTTACCATTAAACTATATCTGCTTTATTTATTTTTAATATTATTAATTTTTTGTATTAAATAACTAATAATATTTTTTTCTTTATTATTAAATATTGAAAATAAATGTGGTAATTTAAAATTAAAATTAATTATAATTTCTGAAATAGGTTTTTCTATAAATTGTTGTATTATTCTTTTTAAAGGTCTAGCACCATATAAAGGATTATAAGCTAATTTCGCTAATAATATTTTTATATCTTCTTCAAGTTCTACTTGTAATAATATATTATTATTTTGTAAATTTTTATTTAAATTAAAAATAAATTTATTTATAATATTAATTAAACATAAAATACTAAGTGGTTTAAATACAATAATAGAATCTAATCTATTTAAAAATTCTGGTTTAAAAAATTTTTTAACTGCTATATCTACATTTTTAGATAAAAATTTATATTCTTTTTCAGATAATTCTTCTCCATTTTGAAAAGATTTAAATTGTACAGAAGAAGTAGGGCATCCTAAATTACTTGTATAAATAATTAATGTATTTGTAAAATCTATATGTTCTCCTTTAGAGTCTGTTAAAGTACCTTCATCTAATAATTGTAACATAATATTATTTATATCTTTATGAGCTTTTTCTATTTCATCAAATAAAATAACTGAATATGGTTTTTTTTTTACAGCCTCAGTTAATAAACCTCCTTCTTCACATCCTACATATCCAGGAGGCGATCCTATTAATTTTGATATAGAATGTTTTTCCATAAATTCACTCATATCAAATCTAATTAATTCTTTTTCTGAGCCAAATAATAAATAAGCTAAAGATTTAACTAATTCAGTTTTACCTGTTCCACTAGGCCCACATAATAACCAACTTCCTATTGGTTTATTTTGTTCTTTAAGACCTGTATAAGCACGTTTTAAAGAAGAAGAAATTTTTGTAATTGCAATGTCTTGTCCATATACATATTTTTTTAATTTTAAATCTATATTATTAATAATAATAGTATTATTAGTTTCTTTTAAAAGTAATGTATTTGGAAATTTACTATATTGTGAAATAATAGCTATTATATCTTTTTTAGAAATATTTTTTTTTATTTTAATATATTTATTTATAATCGAATCTAAAATTAAAAATCCTATTTTAGGAAATGCATAATCTTTAATATATTTTTTACTTAAATCAATTATAATTTCTAAAATATTATCATTAATCCAATTAATATTATTTTTAATAAGATATTGTTTCATTATTAAAAATAATATATTTTTATTTAATTCAAGTATATTTATTTTTGCAAATAAAAATTTTAATTTTTCTTCATTTTTTAATATTTTATCATAATAATTTTCTGAACTAGTTGCTATAATTTGAATTTTATTTAAAAATAATAATTCATATATTATATTTTTTATATAAGTTAAATCAGTTGTAGTATTAGAATTATTAAATAATAAATGAAAATCTTTACAATATAAAATTATATTATTATATTTTTTTAAAAAATTAAATAAATTTTTAATTATATTAATATTATTAGATTGTGAAATTAAATTTGTAATATTTAATTCTAAAAAAATTTTATTAGGTATTAAATATACTAATTTTTCAACTATAGATAATTTTCCAATTCCAATATTACCTAATAATATAATATTTCTATTTAATTTTCTTGKTAAAATTTCAATTATATTTTTTATTTCTTTATCCCTACCTATTAAATTATTTCTTTTATTTAAAATATTTAAAAAATCTTTTAATACCTCAGGAATATTTATATTAGGTAAAAAATTATTTATATAATTTTTTATTAAAATAAAATTAATATTATTTATATTTAAAATAGAAAAAATATAAGAATATAACTTTATATTTTGCTTACATAAATAATAAAATAACAATAAAGTATTAAAAGGATATTCTAAAATATTTAAAATATTAAAAATAAGTAAAAGATTTTTATCTAAATAATAAACTTTATCTAATTTTTTATTTAAATTAGATATATCTATAAAATTATAATTAAAAATTATATTWAATATAATTTTTTGATTTAATATAGAATAATTTATATTTAAAATTTTTTGTATTAATTTAGAATTAAATATTAAACTTAAACATAAATGGATAGGCTTTATTATTATTAATTCAGATTTAGAATTTGTTAAAATAGCTATTTTTTTAGCTTCTTCTAAACAATAAATAACTTCTTTAGTACAATTTAAAAAACTATAGTTAATGGTAGAATTATTCATTAAAAATTTAATTATTATTATTACGATAAAAAGTCGGTTATATTATATTAAATATTTTTATATTTTATTAAAATATTTGGATGTTCTTTAAAAAAAGATAAATAAATATTATTATATCTTTTTAAACAAAATAAATGTAAATTTGTTAAATTTTTAACTTTGTTTTTTTTTATTAAAATTCCTGAAAATTCTTTCATATATAATTTATTTTGTTCCCGTGAATATATACATATTGTATATAATTTTTGTTTATATAAATTAATTTTATTATTATAATAAAATTTTTTATAAAAAATTCTATTATAAGTATATAAAGTATAAAGATATTTTTTATGTATATAATAATTATATAATTTTTTTTTTATTAAAATCATATTTTTTAAAATTTACTTAACTTTAATAAATTTAATAATTTTAAGAGAAGATATATTTAAATAACGATATTGTTTAATTAATTTAATTATACCTTTATATTGTTTTTTAGAAATTTTTTTATTTATTTTACTATCACTATCAAAATTATTAAATTTATTAATAAATTTTAATTTTAATAAAGTAGGTAAAAATTCAAAAAACATATTTTTTTTCATTTTTATTTTATATTAATATTCATAGATTTTAATGGTCCCTTTATCATATATAAATATTTTTTATTAGAAATAGGATAAAATTCCTTTTTTTTTATATATAAAATTTTTTTAATATTATTAATATTAATAAAATTACTTTTTTTAAAATTTAAAATTAAATAAGATAAAGAAGGTGTTTTTAAATTTAAAATAATTTTTTTAGGATCATAAAATATTATAATTACTGGAATTTTTAATCCTATATATTTTTGTGTTTTATTATTATATTCTTTACAAAATAAATTAATATTTATTCCGTATTGACCTAATAAAGGACCTACTGGAGGATTAGATGTAGCTTTTCCAGCTTCTAAAGTTAATTTAAGTTTAATTAATTTTTTTTTCATTATAATATATTCATTTAAATAAATTTTAATTATATTATATAATTATATAAATTTACCACGTTTTGAAAGAATTGAACTTTCATCTTAGGTTTTGGAGACCTTTATTTTACCATTAAACTAAAAACGTAAATATTAAAATTAAAGAGATAGGAATCGAACCTATGCATACCGAAATCAAAATCCGTTGCCGTACCACTTGGCTACTCTTTAATATTTAAAAAATTAAAAAAATTTAATATATTATATGTATATAGTAGTTGAGATAGCTCAGTAGGTAGAGTAAAGGACTGAAGATCCTTAGGTCACCAGTTCGATTCTGGTTCTCAACATAAATTTAATTATTTTTTAAATAAATAATTAAGTATATATAAATATATTTTTAAGTTATCTAAATATATTATTTTATTATATATATATTTATATATATTAAATAAACGCTTATTTTTTTTTTTTAATTTATTTACCATTATTATCATTATAATAATATTATTAATTAATTAAATCAATAATAATTCCTGCTCCTATAGTTTTTCCTCCTTCTCTTATAGCAAATCTCATTCCTTTTTCTAAAGCAATAGAATACATTAGAGATATTCTTAATTTTACTTTATCTCCAGGTAATATCATTTCTGGTTTTTCTGGATTTCTTAAAAATTCAATTGTTCCAGTAACATCAGTAGTATAAAAATAAAATTGAGGTTTATATCCTTCAAAAAATGGTTTTTTTCTACCACCTTCGGAACTAGAAAGAATATATACTTCTGCATCAAATTTAGAATAAGTTAAAATACTTAAAGGTTTAGCTAATACCATTCCACGTCTAACCTCATTTTTTTGAATACCTCTTAATAATATTCCTACATTATCTCCTGCTTCTGCCGTATTTAATATTTTTTGAAACATTTCTATACCAGTAACAGTAGTTGTTTTTAATAAATTAAATCCTAAAATATCTACAGTATCATTAAGTTTAACTTTTCCTCGTTCTATTTTACCAGTAACTACAGTTCCACGTCCTGTAATTGAAAAAATATCTTCTATTGATAATAAAAACGGTTTATTAATATCTCTTTTAGGTTCTGGAATTGATTTATCTAAAGCTTCAATTAAATTTTTTAAATTTTTTACCCATTTATTATTTAAATCATTTTTTTCAATATATTCTAAAGCTTTTAATGCAGATCCTTTTATAATAGAAGTAGAATCCCCATTATATTCATATATATCTAATAATTCTCTTACCTCTAATTCTACTAATTCTAATAATTCATTATCTTCTACCATATCTATTTTATTTAAAAATACAATTATATTAGGAACTCCTACTTGTTTTGCTAATAATAAATGCTCTCTTGTTTGAGGCATAGGGCCATCAGTAGCAGAAACAACTAAAATAGCACCATCCATTTGTGCTGCTCCTGTAATCATATTTTTAATATAATCTGCATGCCCAGGACAATCAATATGAGCATAATGACGTAAATTAGTCTCATATTCTATATGAGATGTATTAATTGTAATTCCTCTAGCTTTTTCTTCTGGGGCAGAATCAATTTCTGAATAACTTTTTGCTTTTGTATTATTTATTTTAGATAAATAAGAAGTAATAGCTGCAGTTAATGTAGTTTTACCATGATCTACATGACCAATAGTTCCTATATTTAAATGTGTTTTAGTTTTTTCAAAAAATTTTTTTGCCATAAATTTAATAATTTTAATTATAATTAATATTTTATTTTTTTATTAAATATATAAAAATTCTATTAGTTAATGATTTTTTAATATATTGNTTGTTTATAATTATATGCAATTCCTTGTTTTTTAAGTACATCATAACATTCTAAATATAATGCTTTTATAAAAGGCATTTTATTAAAACTTTTTATTTTAGCTGCTTTAATAAGCCATATTAATGCCAAATTAATAGATTTATAATAATGTGTTAAAGTAGGAATCTGATATTTAATATATCCTATTTTTTTAATTTTAAAAGTAATAGGTACTATTAATTTTAATATAGCATATAATAAAACCTTATCATTAATTAATAATAATAAATTTTTCTTTAAAGAAATAGATTTATGTTGATTTCCTGATTTTATAAGTTTTTTTATTAATAAAAAATAAATTAAATTATTTAAAGAATACATTATTTTAAAAAAATAAAATTTTAATTATTTTAATTATTTTTTAGTACCATATTTAGATCTACTACTTTTTCTATTTTTAACTCCAGATACATTTAAAGCACCTCTAATAATTTTATATCTAATCCCAGGTAAATCTTGAACTTTCCCTCCTTTAATTAAAGCATAATTATGTTCTTGTATAGCATATCCTTCTCCTGGTATATATGCTATAATTTCTTTATTATTAGATAATCTAATTTTTACTACTTTTCTTAAAGCAGAATTAGGTTTTTTAGGTGATTTAGTAAATACTTTTAAACAAATACCTTTTTTTTGTGGGCATCTATTTAAAATTGAATTTTTAAATTTATTCTTTTTTTTTCTTGAATTTTTTATTAATTGATTAAAAGTTAGCATAATAATAAATTTTTAATTTAACGTTTTTTTATTTTTTTAGGTCTACATCCCATTATGTGGGTATTGCGTTACATCTGTTATTGATAATATTTGTAAATTTATATTTTTATATTTAGTTTTAATAATAGTAGTTAATATAATTTTTTTAAAAATATTTATACCTTTGAAAATTATATGTATATATTTAGCTCCGTTTTGTAAAGCATATAAAGAACTTTTATTAGCTAATATACTACATGCAAAAGGGGTTTCTTTTTTTCTATTTTTAAACCCAAAAGAACCACAAGAAAAAATTTTTATTAATTTTTGATTAGGTTTAACTTTATTATTTTTAATTAAAATTGTTTCTTTAAAAATAGAAATAAAAGTATTATGTCCTGTACTTTTTATATAAAAAGTACATATATTTGATTTATTTATTTTAAAATTTTTTATAATCATTACCTTATATTATTATAATTACTATATTTAAATTTTTATTATTTTTGTCGGTGGTTATGTTTAGAAATTTTACTCCATAAATATATTTTCTTTTTTGTCTATTTATTAAAAAACCATTTTTACATAAACGTTTTATAGATAATTTTACCTTCATAATTTTTATATATTTATAATTAAAGATAATATTTTATATATATTATTTATCCCATAATTTTAGAATTAAAATTATTAATTCCGATAAAATAAAATAATAATCTAATAATATAAGAAGAAGAAATTTTTATTTTATAATTATATGAAAATAAATATAATTTTTTGAATTTTTTTTTTATATATATATTATTTTTTAATAAATTAGAATAAAATAATGAAATTTGATAAATATTTTTAAAAGCATGTAAACGTGCTTTAGAAATAGCATCTTGTAAATAATAATCTTTACTACATCCTATACCAAATCATCCAGATTTATTTCCTATAATAATTATAATTTTATATTTTTTTATTCTTCCTTTTGCTCTAGTTTTAGATACTTTTTTAATTAATAATATTTTTTGTTCTATAGTATTAAATAATAAATATTTATTATAATTTATAAAATTTTTATTTTCCCAATAAAATAATTCTAGTATATAAATTTTATAATTTATAGTAGTTGTAATATTAAAAATATTATTATAAATATTATATAATATATATTTAATTGCAATTATATTTAATAAATTAATAAAATTTTTAAGTAAATTAAAAGAAAATAAATTATATATTTTTATATATTCTTTAATTAAAAAAGAAAAAAAAATAAAATCATTAATTATTTTTATAAAATATAATAAATTGATATTTTTATAATATATATATTTTTTATTATATATTTTTTTATTTAAAAAAATCATTATTTATTTTTTATATTTTTTGGTTTACCTAATTTTAATTTTAATTGATCAAAAATATTTTTTATTCCTTTTCCTTTATATACATTTAATTTATTACAAGATTTAATAATATAAAATATATTACCTAATATATATTTATTAGAATAAACTAAATTTAATATTTTATTATTATCTATATATATATTACAATTATTAGGAAGTTTAATTTTTATTAAATGACTGTAACCTAAAATAAAATATAAAAAATTATTTTTTAATAAAAATTTATATCCTATTCCAATAAATTCTATAGATAATTTATATTTAATACAAAAAAATAATATTTTATTTTTTAAAGTATTAATATATGTATTTATAATATTTTTTTTTTTTGAAAATAAATATAAATAAAAAAAAGAAGGAAAACTTATTATTTTATTAGATAAAAATATTACTTGATATTTTTCATTATATAATATAAATAAATATATTATTTGTGTTTTTATACCTAAAATTGAAAAAAATAAATTAAATGAATTGATTAATTGTTCTTTATATATTTGTTTCATTTTTTATAAAATTTTTTAATTAAATTAATATATTAAACAAAATAATATACCTCCTTGTTTTAATTTAATTGCTTCAGAAATAAAAAAAATACCTTTCGATGTAAAAATAATTCCATTTTTATTTTGTTTTTTTATTTTTTTTAATTGTAAATATGTAATATTATTTTTTTTATCTTTTATATTAAAAAATTTAAATTTTAATTTTTTACTACTATATATAATATAAACTAAAATTCAATTTTCTAATTTATATATATTTTTAATATAAAAATTTTTTAATAAAATAAAAAATAAATATGTTATTTTTGTATAAGAGATAATTAAATATTTTTTATATTTATTTATATTATTTGTTAATATATTTAAATTTTTTTTTAAAATCATTTTAAATAAAATCTACAGTTAATGAATATAATTTTAAATAATTTTTTTTTTTTAAAAATTTAGGAATAGTTCCAAATATACGAGATCCTATTGGGTTTAAATTTTTATCTACTAATACAGCAGAATTATCATTAAAAGAAATATTATATTTTTTATATAAATTTATATTTTTTTTTAATCTAATAACAATTCCATAAACTATATTAGAGTAAATTAATTTACTTGTATTATTAATTTTTTTAATAACACCTACAATTAAATCTCCTATTTCTATTTTTTTAGTTTTTTTTGTTAAATTTTGTATACATAATATTTTTTTTACACCACTATTATCTGCAATATTAAAATAAGTATTTATTTGAGTCATTATATATATATATATTTTAAATTTTATAATAATCCATATATTTTATTATTTATTAAATTAAATAAAATAATATCTCCTTTATTATATTCTTGTCTATAATTTAATATATAATATTTCTTTATTTTTATTTGTATTTTTTTATATTTAAAATGAATATAATGAAAAGGTATTATTAAAATAGCATAATATTTATTAGATTTTAAAATAAATCCTATTTGTTTTTTCATTTAATTAAATATATTAATAAGTTTTATTTTTATTGGTATTTTATTTTTAATTATTTTAAAAATAGAAAATAATATATTTTTTGGAATATTATAAAATTCTAAAAAAATAAAACCTGGTTTTAAACAATATTGTAATTCAGATATTATACTTTTTCCTCCTCCCATTCTAGTATCTAAAGGTTTTTTTGTAACAACTTTATTTATAGTAATATTAAATTTAAATTGATTAAATTTTTTAATATTTTTCTGTAAATATTGTTTTATAAAATTAATATGTTTAGTTGATAATACTCCATATGTAGTAGTTTGAATAGCCCATATACCATAATTACATTTATTAAAGTTTAATCCTTTAAATTTTATATTTTTAGTAAATTTAAATTTTTTCATTAAATTTTTAATTTAAAAATAATCATATTTTAATACCTAATAAACCATATTTAGTAATAACATCAATAGAATTATACTTTACATTTAAAATTTTATTTTGTAAAGAACTTTCATTAAATTTAAATGTTTCTATTTTTGCCATTTGAGATCCATTTATTTTTCCAGAAATTATACATTTAAATCCTTTAATTTTATATTTTTTATTAATTAATAATATAATTTGTGGAATAATTTTTCTTAAAGAATTTTTAGTATATAATATTTTATTATATAAATATTTTAAAATAAAATAAGTAGATATTAAAGGATGTTTTAATACTACAAAATTAAATGTAAATTTATTTTTCTTTAAATAATTTTTTTGTATAAATTTTATAAAATATTTATTAATATATTGTTTATTTTTTAAATATATTAATTTAGAATATAATATAATATTATAAATATAATAATTATTATAATAATATTTATTTTGTATATATAAAATATTTAATTGTTTTTTATTTTTAGTAAATAATTGTAGATTTAAAAAAAATTTTATATTAATATAAGTTAATTTAAAATTATTTCATATATTAATATAATATGGAAAATTTTTTGAACGAAAAATTAAAGGATTAACTTTTTGACCCATATTTTAAAAATAATAATTAATTATTTATTTTAATATTAAATTCTAAAAAATAAGATTTATTTTTTTTTTTATATATAAAATTTTTTAAAATAAATCCTATTTTTTTTTTATTTATATTTATAGGAATATATCTTTTTCCATTATAAATTTCTATTATTTTTCATAAAAATAAAGGTAAAATTAAAGTTGAATTATTATTAGTTTTAAAATGTTTACTATATAATTTATTTAAACGTAATATATCTTTTGATATAAATAATTTCTTATAATAAATTTTAATCATTTTTTTTTCTATTTTTTAATATTAATTTTTTACTATATTTTTTACTTTTTCTAGTTATAATACCTTTTGAAATAGTACCCCAAGGAGAATAAACAGAAGAACGACCTATAGAATTTTTTCCTTCTCCTCCTCCATGCGGATGATCACAAGCATTCATAGCAACACCACGTACTTTTGGTCGTTTTCCTAATAATCTATTAAATCCTGCTTTATTTTTTTTTAAAAAAAGCGGTATTATATTAAGTTCTCCTAAAATACAAAAAACATTTTTATTTAAAAGTCTAATTTCTCCTGAAGGTAATTTAATTGTAACATATTTTTTTCCTATATAAATTAAAAAAGCACTAATTTTAGAATTTTTAACAAAAACTGCTCCTTTAGTAGGATTATGCTCAATATTATGAATTCAACTACCGCAAGGTATTTTTTTTATAGGTAAAATATTACCTATTTTTAATTCTATTGTTTCTCCTATATAAATAATATCTCCTTCTTTTGTATTTTTTGTAATAGGAAGATATTTATATTGATAATTTAAAGAATTATTAAGACATATTACTTTATATATATATTTTTGTAATTTATAATCTATTATTTTTTTTAATATTTGTAATTTTATTATTTTTTTATTATTATAATTAATAATATTAAATATATTTTTTTTAAATATATAATTATAATTTGTATTTTTTAATTGAGAACTTTTAATAAATAATCCTTGCCTATGTTTAATAGTAATATGTCCTTTATTATTTTTTCCAAAAGAATAATTAGAAATATATTTATTTCTTTTACAATAATACATATTATACATTTTTTTATTAAATTAAAAATATTATATAATTAAATTTTAAAAAAGAAATTATATTTAATGATTTTATAGATAATATAAAAGGATAATTAGTTTTTTTTATATTTATATTATTATTTAATAAAATATATATTATTTTATTAGAAAATATACCTTTAATTCTTTTCTGTTTATTTAAATATTCTTTAAAATTATTAAAGTATATATTGTAGGCATTATAACTTGTAAAAGATATATATGTTCTTTTATTTAAAAGTAAATAAAAAAAATTTAATTTTTTCTTTTTTATTTGAAATATTATATTAATAATTCTATTTTTAGGTCCGAATAATTTAATTCCTCCTTTCCATAAAGGAGATTTAAATGATCCTGATCGTGCCATACCTAATCCTTTTTGTTTCCAAGGTTTTTTTGTTGATTTAGATAAATTATTTTTATTTATAGTATTACTTTTTTTAATTTTATGATATAATTTTATTATAGTATAATAATTATTATTAATATATTTAATTAAAGTAATAAAAGAAAAATCAAAAAATTTAAAATAAATATATTTTATAATAATATATTTTTTATTAATATAAATATATTCATTATTAAATAATTTTAATGGGAATATAATATTTAATTTATTCAAATTAAAAAATTTCATATTTTATTTATTTTAATAATAGATATAAAAAATTATATTAATTTTCGGAATAATAGGATTTGAACCTATGACCTTCTATTCCCAAAACAGAAGCGCTACCTGACTACGCCATATTCCGCTATATAATAATATATATGCTCTTAAAGGAATTTGAATCCTCGTTTTCTTCCTGAAAAAAAGATGTCCTAACCTATTAGACGATAAGAGCTTTATTATAATTATTATTATAAGGGTTGTTAGCTTAATGGTAGAGTACTCGGCTTTTAACCGAAAGGTTCTGGGTTCAATTCCCAGACAACCCATGCATGTAGATGTATAATTAAATACGGAAATAACGGGATTCGAACCCGCATCTTCACCGCGACAGGGTGTTATTTTAACCTATATAAAACTATATTTCCTTAAATATTATTTATTAATATAATAATATAAGAGAGAAAGGGATTCGAACCCTTGAATATATATATAAATATATGTCAAATTAGCAATTTGATACTTTAAACCTCTCAGTCATCTCTCCTCCTTATTTATTATTTTTTAATATGAATTGAATCAGATTTGAACTGATGAAGATTTTTAATAATCGACGGAGTTACAGTCCGCTCCTATAGACCGCTCAGGCATCAATTCTTTTAAACTTAAATTTATACCTGAAAAGATTTGAACTTTTGAAAAAAAATGGATTATGAGCCCACCGCTTTTGACCACTCAGCCACAGGTACAAAATTCATTTAAAAATAATAATAAAATAAGGATGAAGGGACTTGAACCCTTAAAGTTTAATAAAAAACTTACGGATTTTAAGTCCGTTGTGTTTACCAAATTTCACCACATCCTCATATTCTTTATAAATAAAAATAATATATATATTTTTTAAAAGATAGTACTCAGAGTTGAACTGAGATAAAAAGATTTGCAATCTTTTGCTATACCTTTAAGCAATACTATCTATATAATTATAATTTTTAAGGGGAAATGACGGGAATTGAACCCGCTTTAAATAAATCCACAATTTATTGGCTATACCAATTGACCTCATTTACCTTTTTATTTTTTAATAAGAATAATATTTCATTATCAATATATTATTATAATTATTATTATTATATATATTTAATATTGAATAAATAATACTAATTAATGTATTTTTACAAATATATATAGTATCATATATATTAGAATTTTTTATATATTTTTTATATAAATTTTTTTTACATAATTTAAAAATATAATAAGATTTAGGAGATAAAGTAATTATATCTCCTTTTTTTAATAAAAAACTAGGAATTTTAATTAATTTAAAATTAACAAAAAAATAACCATGAATAATTAATTGTTTTGCTTGTGCAATAGTAATAGAATATCCTAAATTAAAAATTGTATTATCTAAACGTATTTCAATAATATTAATTAAATTAAATTTTTTATAATTATATTTGTGCATAAATAAAATATATTTTTTAATTATTTTTTCAGATAATGAAAAAGTAAATTTTAATTTTTGTTTTTCAAATAACTCTAATAAATAAAAAGATAAAATCATTTTATTATTATATTTATTTGTATTTAAAATAAAATATTTAGTAGAAAATTCAGGTTGCATATGTATATTTAATCGTTTTAATTTTTTTAATTTAGGCCCTAAATAACGTAACATTTTAAAATTTTTTATATAATATTTATTATTTTTATATTTTAATTATAAAACTGATAAAGGGAATTGAACCCCCAACCTTCTGATTACAAATCAGCGGCTCTACCTTTGAGCTATACCAGCAAAATATATTTTTTTCGAACTTTTAGTCAAAAAATGCTAAAATTATTACTAATTGTATACACTTTTTCTTTTTATCAAATTATCTTTTTGTTTTCTTATTCCATTTATTTAGTTAGATAAGAACATTTATCTTAAAGTATTTTTCTCACTTATATGTTGTCAGTGATTAATATTTATTTAAACTTGGCTACTTAGCGATTATTTTTAGTAAAATAACTAATACACCATAGGTTTAATCTCTTTGGTCCTCTCGTACTAAAAGAAAAACTCTTCAATGTTCTTATGTATACACCGGATATGGACCGAACTGTCTCACGACGTTCTGAACCCAGCTCACGTGCCGCTTTAATGGGCGAACAGACCAACCCTTGAGACCTACTTCAGCCTCAGGATGCGACGAGCCGACATCGAGGTGCCAACCCTCCCCGTCAATAGGAACTTTCGGGGGAGATCAGCCTGTTATCCCTAGAGTAACTTTTATTCGTTAAGCGACAGCCTTTCCACAAAGAACTATCGGATCATTAAGACCGACTTTCGTCCTTGCTCGAGTAGTAACTCTTACAATCAAGCCTTTTTATCCCTTTATAGATTTAATTTTAAAGTAAATATTTAAATTAAAAAAAGACCTTTGTACACCTCCGTTGCCTTTTAGGAGGCTACCGCCCCAGTCAAACTACCTTTTTAAAATTTTTTTATAATTGGTTAACAATATTATAATAAAAAAATAAAATAAATAAGAGTGGTATTTCAAGATAAATAAAATAATTATTTCCCACTTATTCTACACAAATATATTTTATTTTTAATTTCAAAATATAGTAAAGCTTCATAGGGTCTTTCTGTCCAGGTGTAAATAGTCCGTATCTTCACAGACATTTCTATTTCGCCGAATCTTTTTCCAAGACAGCATCCAAGTCGTTACACCTTTCGTGCAGGTCGGAACTTACCCGACAAGGAATTTCGCTACCTTTGGACCGTTATAGTTACAGCCCGCCGTTTACTGGAGCTTATAAAAATATTATAATTATCAATATTTTTTTTAACTTACCAGCACTGGGCAGGTGTCAGCCCCCTTACATTGTAATTACACTTAGCGGAGACTTGTGTTTTTGATAAACAGTCGCTTGGATCTCTTTATTGCAGTCCTTTGGACATCCTTTTTCCCGAAGTTACAGGATTATTTTGCCGAGTTCCTTAGAAAAAGTTATTTCGTACTCCTTAGTATATTTATACTTGCTTACTTGTGTCAGTTTTAGTACGGGTGATAATATATTTTAACATATACATTTTTCCAGCTATATATTTTTATTTATATATTAAAAACTATATTATAAAAATATAATAAAAATTATAGGTCACTATTTGTTATATATATTTACAGTAAAGGGAAGTTTAACCTTATTACCCATCAATTACATATTTAATCTAATTTTAGGCCCCGACTTTATCTACGTGGTATATCCTTTCGTAGAAAACTTTTAAGCTTTCGGAGTATTAGATTTTACTAATATTTATGCTACTTAAGCTGACATTTTCACTTCTATTTTTTCCATAAAAATTTACATTTTTACTTCTTAAATATAGAACGCTCCTCTATCGATTTAAATATAAATCTCATAGTTTCGGTAAAGTATTTTTTTTACCATTTTCAGTACATAATTTCTAATTTAGCGAGCTATTACGCACTCTTTAAAGGATAGCTGCTTCTAAGCTAACCTCCTAAATATAAATGAAATTAAATTTCTTTTTATTTTTAATACTTTTTAAAACCTTAACTTATGATGTAGGGTTGTTTCCTTTTAGACAATTGAGATTTTCCCCAATAGTCTCACTTATTACTTTTTAATATAATAGGTATTATTAGTTTATATATAATTTTTATAATATAAATATAATAAATATTAAATATAGTGCTTTACCACCTTAATTATATATTAAGTAACAGCTGCGCCTCAACGCATTTCGAGGAGAACCAGCTAGCTCCGAATTCGATAAGCATTTCACCGCTAATCTCATCTCTTCTGATGATTTTGCAATATCAACCAGTTCGAACCTCTATATAGACTTATCTATATTTCATTCTGGACAAGATTAATTCATCCGGGTTCGGGTTCTTAATTATAAGCAATTGTTATTATATTATAATAACTCGCGTTAACTCTGGCTTCAATTAAATAAAATTAACCAAATGCTTAAAATAATTAAGACTCGTCAGCTCCTTCTTCAACAGGCATATAGTTAGATTCTTTAATCCCTTCTATAGATTGTAAGATAAAAAATTTCATGTTCTTTTCACTTCCCTTCCGGGGATCTTTTCACCTTTCCCTTACGGTACTAGTCCACTATCGATCACTTTAAAGTATTTTATTTGCAAGGAGGTTCTTGCTTCTTCAATCAGAATTATTTTCTAATTTACTTATTTAAAAATAAATATATTAAATAAATATATTTATCCCATTTCGCTCGCCACTACTTAGGGAATTTTTGTTATTTTTTTTCCTTTAGATACTAAGATGGTTCAGTTCTCTAAGTTTTCTTTTTTTATTAAATTATAAGGTATATTCCTCCTATTCAGAGATCTTTAATTTATTGCATATAGCTAATTAAAGTATTTCGTAATTTAAAACGTCTTTCTTCGTCTTTAAGTATCAAGGTATTCTTTTTTATCTTATAAATATTTAATATTATATTTATTATAATAAATAATAACTTAAGAAATAAAAAACGGAGAACGGAATTGAACCGTTGACCTTCGGATCATGAGCCCGATGAGCTAACCAGACTGCTCTACTCCGTTTATATTAAAAATATATAAAATTAATAAAGCCAAGAGGGAATTGAACCCACACTATTGTGGTCCGTAGCCACATGCTCTTCCAACTTAAGCTATTGGCTTTATATAAATATATTATTATATGAGGAGGGTGGTTAACTCAATGGTAGAGTATATACTTTACAAGTATAAAGTTGTTGGTTCGATTCTAACACTACCCATCTTTAAAAAAACCTATCATTTAAATTGGAAAAGATAAAAACCTTCTAAGTTTTTAATGTAGGTTCAAATCCTACTAGGTTTATAATTTAAAGACGGAAGTGGCGAAATAAGGTATACGCGTTAGATTTAGGTTCTAATAGAATTTTTCTATGAGAGTTCAAATCTCTCCTTCCGTATTTTTTAATATATAAATAATAAATAACTCCACAGGCTGGGATCGAACCAGCGACTTTTCGGTTAACAGCCGAAAGCTCTAACCACTGAGCTACTGAGGAATATATAATATATATTATAGGGGGATATAATGACAATGGTAGAATAGTTCTTTTGCAAAGAAAAAGGTAGCGGTTCGATTCCGCTTATCTCCAAACCATAGATTATATATAAAAACTTCTTAAATGTATTATATTTTATAAAATATTTTTTGTACTAAATGAGTTTGATCCTGGCTCAGGAAAAACGCAAGAGACGTGCCTAACACATGCAAATTTAATGGTTAATAAATTAACTATAGTGAATTGGTGAGTAAAATATGAAAATTTAATTTTAGATTGGAAGTATTTCTAATAACTTAGAAGTAATCTCTGATAAGTGCATATATGTTGCTTTTAAAAAGTTAATACTGTCTAAAAAAAAGTTCATATCTGATTAGCTAGTTAGTAATATAAAAATTTACTAAGGCGAAGATCAGTAGCTGCCCTGAGAGGGGGACCAGCCACATTGGGATTGAAATACAGCCCAAACTCCTACGGGAGGCTGCAGTGGGGAATCTTCTGCAATGAGCGCAAGCTTGACAGAGCGTCGTCACGTGAAGGAAGACAGCTTATTTTTTAGTTGTAAACTTCTTTTACTTAAAAGTGAATATTGACACTTAAGTAAATAAAGTATCGGCAAACTCCGTGCCAGCAGCCGCGGTAAAACGGGGGATACAAGCGTTATCCGGAATTACTGGGCGTAAAGCGTATGTAGGTGGTTTTAATATATTTTTATATAAAAAAAACTTGATATTTGTTTTTAGTAAAAAAATTATTAAACTAGAGTCTGTTAGGGGTAAAAGGAATTTTTTGAGGAGTAGTGAAATGCAAAGATACAAAAAAGAAGACCAAAAGCGAAAGCATTTTACTAGGACAGTTTATTTTACTGACACTGAGATACGAAAGTTAAGGTAGCGAATGGGATTAGATACCCCAGTAGTCTTAACTGTAAACGATGGATACTCGGAATAATATATAAATAATATTTTATTCCTTAGCTAACGCGTTAAGTATCCCGCCTGAGTAGTACGCTCGCAAGAGTGAAACTTAAAGGAATTGACGGGGGCTCGCACAAGCGGTGGAGCATGTGGTTTAATTCGATGTAACGCGAAGAACCTTACCAGAGCTTGAAATATAGGTTTTTAAAAATTTAATAAATTTTTATTAATATAACCATCTACAGGTGGTGCATGGCTGTCGTCAGCTCGTGTCGTGAGATGTTGGGTTAAGTCCCGCAACGAGCGTATCCCTTATTTAAAGTTAAATATCTTTAAAAACTGCCTATATTTTTTATATAAAATAAGGAGGAAGGAATGGAAAACGTCAAGTCCTCATGCCCTTTATGCTCTGGGCTATACACGTGCTACAATGGATGATACAATAAATTTAATATAAAGAAAAATTTTTCTTTTTTTTATTTGAAAAAATAAATATAAATATACTTAAATTCATTCTTAGTTCGGAACATAAATTGCAATTTATTTATGTGAAGCTGGAATCGCTAGTAATCGCCGGTCAGCCTTACGGCGGTGAATAAGTCATCGAGCCTTGTACACACCGCCCGTCACACCATGGAAATTAATTATTATTAAAACTTCTGTTTAAGAAAATAAATAAGAATTAGTAACTGGGGTGAAGTCGTAACAAGGTAGCAGTACTGGAAGGTGCAGCTGGATAATATACTATCTATATTAATTAAATACTACTATTACTGGCAGCTAATATAAATTTTGGACCACTTTTATATAAATAAAATATAAATTGTGAAAAAAATTATTTATGGCAAAAATACTTTTAATTAAAATTAATGGAAAAATAGCTAAGTGCTAGTAAGTAAAAAAGGGCTGTTAGCTCATCGGTAGAGCGCGCCCCTGATAAGGGCCGAGGTACCTGGTTCAACCCCAGGACGGCCTATATAAAAAATAA